AAAATCATTGAAATGAAATAATGGAAATCCCAAAAAACAATCAAAGGGATACCCACTCCCAATGCCTGCTAGACTGTTTATATACATACACATATATGTTTCCCTTTTTTTGAAGGGCGGCAAGGGCTCAGCATTCAGCACTAAAGAGGTGTTTAGTGCCGACTGGCCTAACCACCACCCCTCTTAACCATTTATTGTGCGGGGTGTGTGTGCACGCGTGCGTGTTTCTTGGTGAGCCACACAAATTTCTGTTCTTTAAACACAAATCCCAACACAGAAGAGGGCGTAACTCTGTTGATAAAGTTAAATTAGCAGTCGGGCATTTCGTCCATAATTCCCCCATCCCTATATTCATATATATGTATGTACATATGTATATGCATAACGTATGTATATTTATATGTATATTTATATGTATATGTATATGTATATGTATATGTATATGTATATGTATATGTATATGCATATGTATATGTATATGTATATGTATATGTATATGTATATGCATATATATATGTATATGTATATGTATATGTATATGTATATGTATATGTATATGTATATGTATATGTATATGTATATGTATATGTATATGTATATGTATATGTATATGTATATGTATATGTATATGTATATGTATATGTATATGTATATGTATATGTATATGTATATGTATATGTATATGTATATGTATATGTATATGTATATGTATATGTATATGTATATGTATATGTATATGTATATGTATATGTATATGTATATGTATATGTATATGTATATGTATATGTATATGTATATGTATATGTATATGTATATGTATATGTATATGTATATGTATATGTATATGTATATGTATATGTATATGTATATGTATATGTATATGTATATGTATATGTATATGTATATGTATATGTATATGTATATGTATATGTATATGTATATGTATATGTATATGTATATGTATATGTATATGTATATGTATATATGTGTGTTTATGTATGCGTATAGACAATTGTGTTCCGCATAGGGTGCGCGACTTGGACATGCCCTAAGCGAAACAATGCTTTGTTTCATTATTATTTTCTTTGAACGCAATAATGAACAACACAGCAATCATTTATACAACAATGCGATGCGCCCAAGCTGCGGATAAAGATGACGATGGGTTATGACGACAATTTCAATGAGGATTTGGCCGCGACTGCGTTGGATGGCCGTCATCAGAGTGAGGCCGGAGCCGGAGCCAGGACCAGAGCGCAACTCTCTCACTCATTGCTGGAAGCTGCCAGTTGACTGGGCAATTAACCATTGAGTTGGAAAAGGAAAAAGGGAACTTCAGCAACAGCTACAGCCTCGCAAAGCTGTTCGCAGTACATTTTATAAATTCTGCACCCTAGCCCTTACGCCAGAAAGGCTGGAATATTAGAGAACAGTGCATACTCAGGCCTGCTCCTGGTATTCGCCTGATAATTGGCATTGGCAGACATACTGGCAGATTGGGATTGCAGCGGGCGTTCATTTTGGTGCAGCGCATTTTATTACTTGTGTTACCTAGGTGGGGGGATGGAAGCTGGCTTTCTGGTAGTACAATTTTACACATTTGCTCCGCACCCGCAAGACTATTGTTGGCCATCAGCTGTTTAGATTCAAATTCGATCTCGTCCTGCGTTATTTTTTAAATAAAGCTATGTTTGAAATATCTATTAAGAAATACATATATATTTTTTTGGGATTAGAGTTTATTAAAATACTCAGGCTTATTTATTTTTATACCCTGAACCCATTAAAAATGGGTATAAGGGTATATTGTATTTGTGCGAAAGCCAAAGGTATGTAACAGGCAGAACGAAGCATCTCCGACCCCATAAAGTATATATATTCTTGATCAGCATAAATAGCCGAGTCGATCTAGCCATGTCCGTCTGTCTGTCCGTCCGTTCGTCCGTATGTATGAACGCAAGGATATCAGAACCTATAAGAGCTAGAGACTTGAAATTTTAGATGTAGATGCTCCTAGTTCGCGCGCAGATCGAGTTTGTTTCCGATAATCGATAGCTTACTCCGTTTCCAAGCAATGGAATATCGATATCGATATCCTGTTTTTTGGGCAATTTTGGTAAATAATAAGAGCTAGAGTCACCAAACTTGACATTTAGCTTCCAAAATAGATATATATGCATTTGATGTTGGTAGAAGAGGGTTCAGGGTATCCCCTAGTCGGGAGCTTCCGACAAGAACCTCTTACTTTTTAGTCTTTCGTTTTTCTTTGACCCGCACTCTCCAGGGTGGAGGGGTGGACTTTGTGAAAAACGTTTCAAATAAATCACCACAAAGATCTATAAAAATGAGTTTTAGGCGATTGCGAAAAAGTTCCAACCATTCTTCCCATTTTTTTCCAATTGCGGGTGGAACCAAACCGCTGAAACACGCATTCATTTTATGTAAGGCTTGAACATAATTTTGAAACAAAACGGAGAAAACTTAAAACTTTGCTCAAAAAGTCTTTAAATCACATTTTCAGTGGCGATAGCTTGGAATCTCCAAAAAGTGTGCAACACATCTCAATGATTTTTGCACGGAACTTTCACCACCCATCTTTGCACTCCCATTTATGCCACGGAGAAATCGATTTTTTGAAAACTGTGAAACTCCTCTCAAATAAATTTGAGCAAATATCTTCGAACCTGAGTTTGAGACCGATCGGATGGTAAACAAATAAGTTTTATACAAACGCATTTGCATTTTTGGTATGTGGGTTGATCACTAATCAGTCAGTCAGACAGTCAGTCAGTCGTCAGTCAGTCAGTCAGTCAGTCAGTCAGTCAGTCAGTCAGTCATTAAGTCAGTCATTAAGTCAGTCAGCCAGTCAGTCAATCAGTCAGTCAGTCAGGGAGTCAATCAGTCAATCAGTCAGTCCATATAGATATACCTAGGGGAACCAGTTTGCATTCAAGTCGCATCCAGCGTGTTTGGCATCGGGATCATCGACAAGTCAAGCGGAATTAATGCGTTTAATTGCTTTGTTGAAGCGTCAAATATTTAAAGATATTGAAACGTTGGATTCCATTTTTTTTTTTAAATTGGACTTTTTCTAATGCCACAACATATAAATAAAAAGAAATAAATAACAGAAGCAGGCAGAAGAATCTATATTCGAACTGTCACAGGTTTCATTCGCTAGACAATTCGTTTCTGAATCTGCCTCTAAAATCGTTTGTGTAAAACAAAATTGTGATGTTGCTGTAGGTAGATTTTACTCGGTTTTAGCGGAAACATTGCAAAGGTCTTTCTGTCGGAATCGGACGAATAGAACCGATAATTATGATCGGTTGAAAATATAATTGTCTTTAAAAAATAGGTCTGTTTATTAAGATTAACCTAATTAAACTGAAAACGAGTTGCTTGTATTCTATATTCATGAAGACAGAATTGAGTCTGTACAGAATGTTTCTTGTTGTTTGCCCTTCGTGGATTCAATTGGGATACTCCTGCTGATGATTAATCTTCCTTCCTTCCTTAAGTAATTGTAGAATATTTATTCATAAGCTAATTACGGGTGAAATCAGCTCGGAGTCGTCTCCTGCTCTAATAAAGTCAAAACTATTTAGCAAATATATAGTCTTAGTATAAATTCGTAGATTGTCATCGTTCTGTTATTCGCGACTCGGGAAAAAAAGATATGTTAAAGTCCTATCGGACTCATATGCCGTAAGGAATTTTAGGAAGAATCCGTCGAATAATGAGCTCGTTTGGCAATATGCTCGGCCATTTTTGAAAGGAAACCAAACCAACAAAATTTAACAATTGCGAGTTTCACTTTTCACTTGACACATTTGTAAAACCGTCAGTCAAAATTCTCAAAGGGTAATTCATAATATCGGCATATCGATGATGGGAGATATACCTGATTTTTCATAATAGTTGATCCTGCTTATTAGGTGTTGCATCAGGAGAAACCCACATAATAAATCGGTTCACGAATTAAAAGAATAAGACCCCTATTGAAACTAGAGACTAGTTATACGAAATATATATATATGTTGAATATCTTTACATATTCAGCAAATGACCGCATTAGGTGAAATGCGTTGAGTGTGAACGATACCGATCTATATACATATAGACTAGAGACATATATTTTACGATATATATATATATACTAATATATATAAGAGGTTCTAGTCGGGAGCTCCCGACTAGGGGATACCCTTAACACTCTTCTTCCAACATCAAATGCATATATATATTCTATTTTAGAAGCTATATGTCAAGTCTGGTGACTCTAGCTCTTATTATTTACCAAAATTGCCCAAAAAACAGGATATCGATATCGATTGCTTGGAAACGGAGTAAGCTATCGATTATCGGAAACAAACTCGATCTGCGCGCGAACTAGGAGCACCTACTTCTAAAATTTCAAGTCTCTAGCTCTTTTATGTTCTGAGATCCTTGCGTTCATACATACGGACGGACGGACGGACAGACAGACGGATATGGCTAGATCGACTCGGCTATTGATGCTGATCAAGAATATATATACATTATGGGGTCGGAGATGCTTCCTTCTGCTTGTTACATACATTTGGCTTTCGCACAAATACAATGTACCCTTATACCCATTTTTAATGGGTTCAGGGTATAAAAAAAACTGCTGAGTTAACTTTTTTAATTGACATTACATCATTTGAAAATGTAAAAATGAAATTTGTTTAAAAATAAGCAAATAATCAATTGCTTAAAGTTACAATTCCCGATTTGAACAAAATGGGTAATAATGCCAGCTCAAGGAACAAGGAAGGAATGTGACTTATCCCACGGGTTGCCATTTCTCTGACGGCTGCAATCCAACAAGTGTTGTTGACAGCATCACTTTCCACATTTCACTTGTGTATCATTAATTTTCGAGTCGAACGAACCGCAGCGCAACGTGAAAAATAACAGCTGATCCCGCTTGGCTTTGCGCCTGACATCATCCCGTCAAGTGGAACTAAATTGACATGTGATAAGAATATTTGAGTTAAATCTCGAAATGCCCTCGACTCTAGACTGGGCCAAATGTTTGCCTGTTTCGCCTGATTTGATTCGCAGCAAAATATTGGCACAGCAATTCCTGAAAGCCGCAGGATTAAGATAGCATTAATTAAACAGACTGAAAGCTTGCAACTCAAAAACTGATCTATAACATTTTTGAAAAGCAACCCCATCTGATTATGATTTCGGTAAGCCATTCTGCCATTCTAATCCGTTCAATTATGCAAGCCCTATTGAAATGCATTTTCTTTGTGTGACGAATTCGTCCTGGGAGTTTCTTCACTTGTTTGCAGTGTTCAAATATCGCGCACCCCTTGAAAAGGGGGAAATGCCTGAGGCAACCGGCAGCCGGATGCCGGGCCGACCCCACAATGTACCCACTTTTTTGGTCAGCCACGATGGAACCTACTTTCGGGTCGAAAGTCAAATGTCGGCAATTCGAGCGTCAAATCGGGAGAGTTGGCCCAGGTTTGTATGAAAATCAAGGCTCTCTTGCTTCCCTTGGCAGCAATTGTCTACTACATTTTTATACCCTGAACCCATTAAAAATGGGTATAAGGGTATATTGTATTATGTAACAGGCAGAAGGAAGCATCTCCGACCCCATAAAGTATATATATTCTTGATCAGCACCAATAGCCGAGTCGATCTAGCCATGTCCTTATGTCCGTCCGTCCGTCTGTCCGTATGTATGAACGCAAGGATCTCAGAACCTATAAGAGCTAGAGACTGAAATTTTAGATGTAGGTGCTCCTAGTTCCCGCGCAAATCGAGTTTGTTTCCGATAATCGATAACTTACTCCGTTTCCAAACAATCGATATCGATATCCAGTTTTTTGGGCAATTTTGGTAAATAATAAGATCTAGAGTCACCAAACATATAGATTCTAAAATAGAATATATGTATATATATATATATATAAATATATATATATTTGATGTTGGAATAAGAGGGTTCAGAGTATACCCTAGTCGGGAGCTTCCGACTAGAACCTGTTACTTGTTGTTATTATTCACGCCCAAAAAAAAAACAAGTAAATGGTTCTAGTCGGGAGCTCCCTACTAGGGGATACCCTGAACTCTCTTCTTCCAACACCAAATGCAAATATACATATATACTATTCTAGAAGCTACATGTCAAGTTTGGTGACTCTAGCTCTTATTATTAACCAAAATTGCCCAAAAACCGGATTTTGATATAGATTTTTATTGATTACTTTGAAACGGGGCAAGTTATCGATTATTGGAAAAAAATCGAACTGGAGGAGGACCTACATCTTAAATTTTAATTTCTCTAGCTCTTATAGGTTCTGATATCCTTGCGTTCATACGGATGGACGGACGGACAAACGGAGAGACGGACGGACAGACAGACGGACATGGCTAGATCGACTCGGCTATTGATGCTGATCAAGAATATATATATCTTATGGGGTCGGAGATGCTTCCTTCTACCTGTTACATACATTTACATTTTGCACAAATATATACCCTTGTTACCCATTTTCAACAAGTTCAAGGTATAAAAAGAAAAATAGATTTCATTTTCAAAGAAGTTTTCTCTTTTTCTTTTTCATTACAACTAATTAAAACAAAAGTTTTTATTTTGTGGTGGAGTAGCCGAGATTTCGACCCAAGTATTGCCTTATTACCTTTATATATTTAACAGAACAGGGTTCTTCTCATTTCATTTTTCTCATCTAATTTTAAATTATTATCGTATATATGAGGTATCTCTATATCGTATACAGATATTGAGTATAGAGTTTAAGTAAGAAAAAAGCTTTTGGTAAATTTTGGAATTGATGTAATATACATTCGAAGATCATATCAGCTTTTACACATTTATACACACATAAATGAATACCTTGTGCTGCTGTTGGGTCCTCATCAGGTTTTCGCATTGCAAAGTTGTGAAATCTAGTTTTTAAATTGGTTTCGCCAACGCTTTTCCCTGGGGCGTATAACTTTCGTGAATATTAAATGTTACGGGCTTAAAAGTGGCATTCGAATGTGTGGTACAAGGGTAACTCCTGATTTGCGTTTATCATGAAATCGACCTTTTTCGATTAACGGAAGTTGTGCTAGAAAATATCTGCGCAACCATATGCTAGGCTCTAGGCAGAGTACACAAAGCAGTTGCACTGCTTGATAATACTTTTGCTTAGGGAATTTTATGTCTAATTTTGACTACACCCGGTTTCAAAACAGATTCCACACTTGGGAAAATTGCAGCTTAGACACTAAAATGTTTGCAGGGACACAAACCATAGTGTTGAAATTTGTTACTGTATAATTATAACCACAATTATTAATTTTTCGAAACGTACATCTGTAGATAAATAAAATCCTGATTTTTTTTGGCAAATCGTGGACAGTTATGTATTACGTGTATCTTAATGTCTGTTTTGTGTAGGGGGATGGGCAAAACCATGCCAGCGCGGACACAAACCAAGTATTTTTATCATACACCTAAATTAAAAGTAGGCCCAAATAGCTTGGTGTATTCATGTATGGATTTGAACGATAGCAAGGACCACACACTATTTTTTGTGCAAAAATTGAACATACGTCTAAATACACCATAGAATACATAGCATGGACACAAGCAAAAGTTGCGTGAATGCACAACACAGCACAGAATATACATATAAGGTAGAAAAGAAGCATAATACGTGATAAAGCGGTAGCAAGGACACACACAACTTTCTTTAAAATAAAATGAAATACCTTAGAATAAAATAGCATGGATACAAACCAAGGTTGTGTGAATATACAACACAGAATACACATATAAGATAGAAGCACTAACCATACAATGTATAGACATACTTTTTATCGAAACAAAAAAAATCGAAGCGAGGCGACCCCAATGATACCTGCGACCATTTTAGTGTGCCCAGACAGAGTAAGACTGCTGAGAGTGGCAGCCAAACGCCGGCCTCAAAAGCCGAACGTTCAGTATGAAGCCGCATCTCGCTCAGCGCACAACGTTGCGGCTGATGATGCGTTTTCTTAATATATGTATGTATGCCATTTTTAAATCCTTACAGCCCAAAAACTTTTGTGTGTATACATGTGCCTCGCTCTCACTAATTGCTTCGCGCACTTGCGTCCAGCTCTTTCTTCCTGTATAGCTTCCCACAAAACCCCGAGATCTACAAACATTCATATGTTTGTGTTGTGTGGATGTGCGCACAAGTAGATCGCAACGTTTGTCGCGAGCCAGAGGTTATTTCTTCAATTGTGTGTGAACAAAAGTTGACGCACACTCTTTCAAGTAAGCAGTTGTGTGAAATTATTAAAGGGTTTGGCCTGTTCATGTGCAAAATTGCTATTTTCCATGCTTGTTGTAGGGGTAAGGGTACCTGATCGCTGGCATGTGTGCATGATACCTTTCTGGGTCGGCCAATCACGCACACTAACACACTTTTCTATATGGATGGAAGCATTAATGCGTGTGCGTGTTGGTTGCCTGCCTGCCTGCCCGATGCAAATTTTACAAAATCTGATATTTTTGGCATTTGTGAATTTCGAGCTCTACGCCCACACATGTACACACTCACAATTGTGTGTGGGTTTGTCGTGAGGCAGAGATATTTTTATCAATGGGTGCGTAAATTTGGGCGACTGGCACGTTTTTTTGGCATGCCTGCGGTGGGCTTGAATGAAACAGAGAGCGAGGCACATGCATACACACAAATGTTTTTGGGCTGTAAGGATTTAAAAATGGCATACATTCATATATTAAGAAAACGCATCATCAGCCACAACGTTGTGCGCTTAGCGAGATGCGGCTTCATACTGAACGTTCGGCTTTTGAGGCCGGCGTTCGGCTGCCACTCTCAGCAGTCTTACTCTGGGCACACTAAAATGGTTCCAGGTACCATTTGGGTCGCCTCGTTACGATTTTTTTTGTTTCGATAAAAAGGGCCATTTGGTATGTCCATACATTGTATGGTTAGTGATAGAAATGTGGAAGGTAAGCTATATATGTTATAAAACGATAGCAAGGACACACACCACCTTCATACATAAAAACTCTTATTGATTCATTATGTGAATAGAACAAGTTTTGCAATAGAAAGCCCTTTAGCATAGCAATAAATAAGAAAAGATAATTTACAAATCTAACGAATTTTCCTTTTAAGCCTTATTGCGCCGGAGCTTCAACTTAGACATAAACAGCATGGTTTAAACTGACAATAAATTGTAATGAATAAAGCGACTGCAAGAAAATAAGGCAAAGAACTGGCTACGAAACTTGGTTATTCTGTGGATCATATAAACAGTAAATGCGTATACATAAATATTGTTCCATAAATTTCAGTTGCCAACGAAAGCTTAAAGCTTTTTAAGTATAAGTCTAATATACATAGTTAAGTTTAACGATAGATGGCGCTTAAATATTTTTCGCTTCCTTTAAATCGAGTGACATGCCCCACTGGCAGATACCCTGTTTTTTATATTTTCTTTCAGCTAGAGCAAGCTTAAATTAAATTATAACCATTCCTCGACAACTTTTGACTTTTGCAGGGTGTATACAAAACAGCTTCAAGCAAAATAGCAAAAAGGCCAAAGACACCAAATAGGATATGTACAGGCTCTTGTTGAGTATACACAATCAGTTCGTCAGTTATATATATAGTTTAACGAGTCCGTTTCGGATATTAAAAATCTATTTTTATACTTGCGGTCCGATTACGTCCCGTATATTACAAACACTGGGAAGCTGATGATATGAGAACCATTTGGTACCGATGTATGCCACAGCAAATACAGGGTATCTCCCAATACGGTTGCCATTGACTATTTGACCCCGAAACAATGGGCTATGCTGCAATTGTGAGCACAGAGCAACCCGTTAGATAACACTCAGGTGTAATGTGTGCACGGCGTAAAGTCGTATGCCGGGCACAGACTTCCCTAACATGCCAATACAATGGTAACCACCGCTGGAACGCATTGGTCGTGGATTGGCGATGGGCGATGGGCGAGTGACACCACGTCACGAGTTAAGTGCGCTCATTTCACCCCTATTTTAACGCTTGGGCACTTTGTGGTCGATTCGACATCTCGATGTGGAACTAGTGTGTGGTGTGCATTAGAGAAGGGCCGTGATTTTGTTCCGTGTCACGGCGGGCTACTCTCCGTGTATACCTCTCCAATATTAAATCCAATGCAGTTCGCAGAGCCTAGTAGGGAATATTGATATTGAGATAGAAAAATACCATGATGAATTCTTGCAAAAACATAAACATAACAACTTCGTGCTTCGTGTTCGTGTTGGACCGTGTCGTTCAAGCCCGACCCACACCCATATCTAGTGTGCATACATTAATATATTTACTAAAAGTCGGAGATTCTTTTGTTGTATCTGTTGTATCGTGCAGATACAAAGTTAATGCTCGACACACGACCCAAATTAAATTTAATAACCAATTAACAGTATCATCCGCGTTCGTGGCATACAAATTCGAAGCCTTCATGCCTGCATTACGAAAGAAGCCACCCCAAAGGTCGACATTATTTCAACGAGGATTGATAAGTACCAAGTTAATCCAAGAAAGTGACGTGTTTCATAGTATCCGCTTCAGAGATACCCTGTAACCAATTCCCAACTTCTTTGAAGCTCAACGTACAAATACCATTAATTACCATAATTAAGGTAGGCAAAAAGGTAAATTTAGTGGAAAAGGCGCTTATAGTCTCAATAAGACGGGCCGACGTACATGGAGGGACAGACGTGATCAGGAATATACAGTGAGCACTCTCTTAACGCGGACATATTCGGGCATATCTTTGTATACCCTACATAAATTAAAAAAGGATTTTTTGCAAATGTATTTGGCAGGCAGAAGGACCCCGTCGAGCCTACTTCATATCAGCATCAATAGCCAAGTCGATCTACTTGCCCAAGAGAGTCTACATATCCTTTTGGGATTGGAAAGAAACTAATAAACAATTTTTTGGTGCTTTTCTTAGATTTTTGACTTGTTTTTTAAATGAATTTTTCGTAAAGAGCTTTCAAAACGATTTTGAGCGGGAAACTTGACCCACTTAAATCTTTGACCCCATTAAGAACGAACAGGAGTAGATTTTAAATCTGTCCGCTTATTCGGCAATATTTAAGCTTGTTGGAAAGACATTGACAATTATGTTGTTTAGTGTAATTGTTGTAGGGGGAGGGTTAAACATCCAACATACTTTCTGGGGGAGGTCAAGCGGGCGTGTTCTCCTGTGTTCTCATCTTGGAAATGCAAGATCAGGTGTTATATTCTAATGGTTAGAAAATGAATTGATTTGGCACAATTAAAGGTCTAGCATGCAATCGTGCTCTGCTACAAGATAATTTTTGGTTAAAAAAATTAGCCCAGCACGCTAAGTAGGTCATTATCACGCATATGAGTGGAAATTTCTTTAATGCGTTTCATGTAAACTTGATTATCGCATTAAGGTTGGGAAAGAAACTATACTTACAACAATCTGAGCGCAGTAAAACAAAAGAGCTTCTATCTGGAGAGCACATATGTATGTATGTATGTACTGTCAGAAGTAAGCCAGGGCATTGCATTGACGATAATCCAAATTTGACGAAAGGATTTTGTGCATACAATACGACCTCGCCCAACGCAACCTGTTAAAATTTGGCTAATTGCGAAAACTGAGGTGGTTGCAAGAACCGAAGAAAAATTTTCTGTTGGCCACGAGACCTATTTCCAAAAAGAGATGCCTTTGCTAACCATCAAAATTAAAGTAAATCGAATAATTCAGTGTTCAAGGCAGGGATTTTATTTTACTTTATTTTTTGTAAAATTGAGAAATTGTAGTCTGCACTTTTTAAAATTTATATTTTTCTGAATAGCTGTTTTGCGAATGTTAAGAAATCGGGTGTTGCAATTATCGAGGAGTTGCGTGTAACGAGGGTTGTGTTGAGCGAGGTCATTCTGTATAAGGCGAATTCAAAAATTGAGACTTGAGACTCCACAAATTGATTTAAAAACGTGTATTTTCTTGTTAGCTTCTTATTTCAAATCGAATTTCGTAAATGGTTGAAATAATGTGTGATTTTTGATTTTAATGGTTATATGTTAAAACAAGTAAAATGTTTTAGTCGGGAGCTCCCGACTAGGGGATACCCTGAACCCTCTTCTTCCAACACCAAATACAAATATATATACTATTCTAGAAGCTACCTGTTAAGTTTGGTGACTCTACCTCTTATTATTTACCAAAATTGCTCAAAAAACAGGATATCGATATCGATTTTTTTCGATTACTTGGAAACGGGGCAAGTTATCGATTATCGCAAACTCGATTTGCGCAGGCACTAGATGGACCTATATCTAAAATTTCAAGTCTCTAGCTCTTATAGGTTCTGAGATCCTTACGTACATACATACGGACGGACGGACGAACGGAGAGACGGACGGACAGACAAACGGGCATGGCTAGATCGACTCGACTGTTAATGCTAATTAAGAATATGTATACTTTATGGGGTCGGAGATGCTTCCTTCTGTCTGTTACATACATTTACATTTTGCACAAATACAATATACCCTTTTAACCCATTTTTAATGGGTTCAGGGTAGAGTCGTGTCGTTTAGTTCAGACCAAGCTCGATTGAACTGTTCATTAAAATGAACTACTGAACTTATTCAGTGACTAGTGAACTAATCGATCAGTCGGTCATGAACGAAACATTCTTGATACTCGTTCAGTCGGTCATGAACTTTGTATGCAACTCAGCAGTTCATCCGTTCCTGAACAATACATTCTTTTGAGATGTTCAGTTCTTAATAAACATAAAATATAGCGGGATATTAATTTCAATTTTGATTTGACTGCATAACTGAACTAAGCGAATAGTTCATGAACGACTGAATAGCTGAGCAGAATTCATCGTTCATGACCGACTGAATAGCTGAACGAGTGAACTAAATGACCGATTTAGTTCACGGCCAGAAAATGAACGAGTGAACTTATTCAGCAAATTGAACTAGAAATCCCCACTCTATTTCAGGGTATAACAAATAATTAAATAATATATGTATTCATATTGAAACAATAATCTAACAACCTGCTTTTATGTATATAATTTGATACCCTTCTCAATTTAGTTTTTGACGGAAATAATAAATACATATTTTGGAGAAATCAATTTGCTTGCCCGTGTGTACTATAGATGAGATATCCAGTACAATTTCATGTGGACATTGACAATTTTGAGGATTGGTCCAAACTCGACTTCGTTTTCGATGTGGCAAACTCTTTCATTATTTGAAAATTGAATTTGTGCGCATTGTCGGTTGTGCGGACAGACACACACACGCACATGCATTTAAACGATCTCTAGATATAATGAGAGAACATTGGGAGCACTGAGAGTAAGCGAAAGCACTTTCTTGTAGTGGGAGCCAGATAAAAAGAGCGATGCCGTTCCACCCCACAAATCATATGTATGTATTTCTCTCTGAACAAGATTCGAGAAGACAGAGCGAAAGATAAACATTTCATAATAACAGAGCAATAAAACGTTAAAAAAATGTTCGTATGCAAACAATTTTTATTTTAAGCAATAAGCAACACCAACACCAACGTGATGCACAAGCGCACACACACACACACACACACACACACAAAAGTACATGCAGAGGGGAGAACGAAGAGAACGGATAATCAAAACAAACACAAACAACAAAACGGGACTGACGCCGCGGTTTATAAATGCAATAATTGATAAACTTCACTGCACAAGTAATAAAAACTTTTTAAATAAAGCAAAAAAAACCAAAAGGGGCTCTAGTCGGGAGGGGCCGACTAGGGGATACCCTGAGCCCTCTTCTACCAACGCCAAATGCAGCTAAAATAAAAAAGGTCTCTCCCTATACCCCTATATAATATAATTATCCCATCAGCCCGACGTCGAACATGTTTAGATAAATATTTTGGACAGAAAAACAGGTTCATCACGATAGCATTAAGATGGACAGAAAGTCAGAAATTGTAATACCATACATGTAAATATTAGCGGGTATAACCCGACCTTGTCCGTGGCACTTACATATGTATAAAATAAATTTTCTCAAAAAGCTTTAAAAATTATTTTTAAACTGATGGGATGGTAAACAAACATATGTACTCATTAAGATTTTCTGTAGATCTTTAGAAATAAGTTTAAAGTAAATCGGACAACATTTAAAACTTAGCCCAACAAATTTTTGAATCGCATTTCTAACGAATAAGCTTGGATTCTGTGAGGCACGTCTCAAATGATTTTTCATATAATTCTTTTTAAATGAATTTGAGTGCGAAATGTCACCCACCAAATCTTTGACAAAGGTGGAATGGATTTTCTAAAAAGTGTAAAATACCCCTCAAATGAATTTGAACAAAGATCTTTGAAAATAAGTTTGAGGCCGATCGGATTGTTAACAAAAAGTTTCATATAAACATTTTCCCGATTCCGATTCCTGCATTATATTTATATGATTATACCCTCAGGGAGGGTATAGAAATATGCTGCATACAAATTGGGTTGTAGGGATCTTAATAAAAAATATGGTTAATATAATATAAATATCCGATCAGCTCGGTGGCGAGCATGTTATCCCTTGTTTCCCGTGTTGTGTTACAAATATGGTCATACGATTATACCCTCCGTGAGGGTATATGTATATATTTGCTGAATTGCAATTGCCCAATGTGTAAAACGAATGACATATAATGATTAACATTGATAGTTAATTTATTAAATTGCAGCAATGCGGATCGTTGTTATATTTTATTATCTTTACAGCTTGCAAAATGGTAATTCGGTTATATGCCAAAAAAATGAATCAGGTCAGATGTATAAGGAACGATTTGAAATTTTCAAGGTATGATCACCAACTAAATTTATAATATTCGAATATACTCAGTATATATATATATATATTTTTTTTTTAGAAAATAAACAATAGAAGCTATACACGTTCCCATGATGAAATGCGCAGCTATGAAGCCTATGAGGAAAATCAAAAAATTGTCAACGAACACAATTCGTATTACGAAACTGGAAAAAGCAGCTTTCGATTAGCAACAAACACATTGGCTGACATGGTATTATAGATATCTATAAATATTTGTTATGCTCCAAATGTATGTATGGGAAGCCTCTCCCGCCTTATAAGGCGTATTTTTAATCATCATCAATAGCCAGGTCGATCTCAGAACCTATAAAAGATATAGACTTCAGCTGTAGCTATATTAACTGGGCTGATCTAGAATATATAGTATATATACTTTATGTGATCGTTGATGTCTCCTTCTATGCGTTGATAAAATTATAGTACAACAAAATTATAGAAAATACTAATACAACTTATTAATTACAGAATACTGATTCATACCTCAAGGGATATTTACGTTTATTACGGAGCCCAGCGATTTCTGATTCGGACAATATTGCCGACATTGTTGGATCACCGCTGATGAATAATGTTCCCGAAAGTTTTGATTGGCGTAAAAAGGGATTTATTACACCATCGTATAATCAACAAAGCTGCGGCTCCTGCTATGCCTTCAGTATAGCTCAAAGTATAGAAGGGCAGGTCTTCAAGCGCACCGGTAAAATTCTAGCCCTAAGTGAACAACAAATTGTGGACTGTAGTATCTCCCATGGCAATCAAGGCTGTATCGGGGGCTCACTACGAAACACTCTAAGATATCTACAGGCTACCGGGGGTCTAATGAGATCGCTTGATTACAAATATGCCTCAAAGGTAATATAATCATTAAATATTCATTAACTCCCAATAGGATATTATTCATAACCTTATAATATAAAATATAAAAGCCTGAATATTATTCATACTCATATAATATAAAACCCGTACTACCCTGAATTCACAATAGAATATTATTATTATTATACCCTGAACCCATTAAAAATTGAGTATAAGGATTATTGTATTTGTGCAAAATCCAAATGTATGTAACAGGCAGAAGGAAGCATCTCCGATTCCATAAAGTATATATATTCTTGATCAGCATCAATAGCCGAGTCGATCTAGCCATGTCCGTCTGTCTGTCTGTCCGTCCGTCCGTCCGTCCGTCCGTATGTATGAACGCAAGGATCTCAGAACCTATAAGAGCTGGATTTTAGATGTGGATGCTTCTAGTGCCTGCGCAGAACGAGTTTGTTTCCGTTAATCGATAACGTACTCCGCTTCCAAGTAATAAAAATCGATATCGATATCCTGTTTTTTTGGGCAATTTTGGTAAATAATAAGAGCTAGAGTCACCAAACTTGACATATAGCTTCTAAAATAGAATATATATATGCATTTGATGTTGGAAGAAGAGGGTTCAGGGTATCCCCTAGTCGGGAGCTTCCGACTAGAATCTCTTACTTATTCATTATCGTCTAATGTAAAATATAAAGCCCGTACCATCGTGCTCGCCGCCTTAAGTTGTATTTTTCGTTCGAGTCCTGCGAATTTAAAACCCCAAAGTATAGCTTACGAATTCTTAATTATGTTTCTTTTTTTTTAGAAAGGAGAATGCCAATTCGTTAGCGAACTAGCCGTAGTCAATGTGACATCGTGGGCTATTTTACCGACAAAGGATGAAAACGCCATTCAAGCAGCTGTGGCACATATTGGTCCAGTTGCAGTCTCCATTAACGCAAGTCCCAAAACTTTTCAACTTTATAGGTAAGACGATCAAGATTCTAAAAATATATTTCCTGTAATCTTAGTTTGTTTTATCACTTTGTTTCAAAATTCTTGATCAGATATATATTCTTGATCAGCACCAATAGCCGAGTCGATCTAGCCATGACCGTCTGTCTGTCCGTCCGTATGTATGTATGAACGCAAGGATCACAGAACCTAAAAGAGCTAGAGTCTTGAAATTTTAGATGTAGGTGCTCCTAGTGCCTGCGCAGATCGAGTTTGTTTCCGATAATCGATAACTTACTCCGTTTCCAAGCAATCGATAAAAATCGATATCGATATCCTGTTTTTTTTGGCATTTTTGGTAAATAATAAGTCACCAAACTTGACACATAGCTTCTAAAATAGAATATATAAATGCATTTGATGTTGGAAGAAGAGGGTTCAGGGTATCCCCTAGTCGGGAGCTCCCGAATAGAACCTCTTACTTGTTCATTAATCAAAAGTAGAAAGCTGATCAGCGCAGAAGAAAATAATAAATTGAAAGAGATTAATAGTGCGCGTGAGTAAAGATTAAGTGCATTAGATTGTCAGAAGGCGGGCTGGACTCGAGAGTTGAATATATATAAACCCTATTGAGTAACAAATATATATAATATAATAATAAATATATTTATTGCTCAATGTACTTACCCATAGAGTCAAGGATCCCTTCTCTTCCTCCTTCTGACTATTACATACATATATATAAAACTATTTTCAATTAAACGAACTTGCCTGCGTCAGTTTTTTGATTTTATTCTCTACCCATTATCCGCTGTTGGAAGGCTGAAGTGTATCCCTACTTCTTTAAGCCCCCTTACAAGGAGGTTCTTCAATCATTTGAATGGGGACTTACACTCCTAGCTCTTAGGCCAAAATAATTGATGTATACGGAAATGTTAATTATCTTTTTATTTTGATTTATATTTTTTACAGTGAGGGAATTTATGACGACGTATCCTGTTCATCAACTTCTGTAAACCATGCCATGCTACTGATTGGCTTTGACAAAGACTTCTGGATTCTAAAGAACTGGTGGGGAGAATTGTGGGGAGAAGCTGGCTTTATGAGAATGCGTAAAGGTATTAATTTATGTGGGATTGCAAATTATGCAGCTTATGCAATAGTATAAGCCAGAGAAAGAGAAATGTCTCCATAATTACACTACTAAACATGCTTTAATGTGTATATTTAGTATAAGTACTAAATATCATGTTGGATAAAAGGCTATTGAATGTCCAACATGCACACGGAAATATGTATGATATTTACACCCCGCAATCTAGCTTGTCCAATAACTTAATTTAATTTGCATGCCACAATTTGTTGGAAAAGTTAATTAAATTAAAAGCAATATTCACAGTTCGTTAAATTCAAAATACAAAATACGTGTTATGTGCAAATTATGGGTATGATGCGATGTTCGGGGTGTAAGTGCAGGAATTTCTCCAGGGTGACTTCCTTCAGACGCATGCGTCGGATCGGATGGGGACACGCCCATATCACTCTAATTGGCGGAATGTACAAAATCTCTCCCGGACATGGCCTGTAAACATTCGAGGCGTGACCCTTATTGGTTGGGTTTCCTATCTGGTATTTATTTAGTGTTTGGCAAGGTGGCTTTTACAGGAGTCAGACAAAACGGAAACGCGTTCCTGTTCAGTCTTCACGGTTAATTCGCGACGCGAGATTTCTTGATTTGTTCGGAAACAAGCTGAAATTATGTTTGAAAAAGTGAATATAATATAATAACTATACAATGATTATAAAACAAATGCACGGTGTCCAATTTATATAATCGAACAATCTAACATCGGCTTATGTATTGTATGTATGCAGGCATCCCCGACCCCCCACAAGGTACACTTGCAAAAAAATAGTAGTTAGTTCCCATGGTGTTGTTTCTCTACAATAAAATCTCTCATTGTTAAACGTTAATTGCATAACTTTTAGGAACGATATTAGAAAGACGAGTTTTTGTAATTTATAAAAATTTACGACTCACTAATTGGGGACTAATGCTTAGTCGAAAGAGCTACGAGGCTAAACATTTGATTCAATTTAATTGGCATTGGGTAGTTTTATAAACGCTTTATATTATTTTTATATATTTTATGAAAATTGGTTGTGCATATCCTCGACCATAACGTGTACATATTCTTGATCCGTCTGCTCACCTGGCTGTCGGTTAATTTGTCCATATTTATGCCTACAACTCATTGAAAATTAAGTGAAAGCTTATAAAAGGGTATCCAATAGACAGAAGGAAGCATTTCGAAACGTATAAAGCACATATGTATTTCTGATCCCAATGTATGTCTGCTTTTCCGTTCGTCCTTTATTTGTGAACGCGTCGATCTCAGAACTTATAGGAGCTGGACAATTTAACTTTGATATCCGGTTTTTCTTAGGTTTTAATTGCTATGTTCACCAAATGTGATATATAGCTTCTCGTATAGCATACGTAGATCAAGGACATTTATTTTTTTGAATACAACCCTATTCTGCTTTATCAAATACACATACATTCACGCACGTGTTCCTTAGTTCTATAATAAGTAGTGTTCTATAACATTCTATTAATAAATAGAAATTACGAATGTTCTGTATCCTGTGCTTTGGTATGTGCTGCTCTTGAATTCATACGATTCTTATTAATTTTCTTTGTTTGATAATGTTAGTTTTAGGTTAATAGAGTAAGTTTTGGATCAGGCGATCGTACGGTATCTTCTGGTCGAGCACTCCCGACAACCACTCGAGAGAACATCTTTTTATACCCTGAACCCATTAAAAATGGGTATAAGGGTATATTGTATTTGTGCAAAATCCAAATGTATGTAACAGGCAGAAGGAAGCATCTCCGACCCCATAAAGTATATATATTCTTGATCGGCATAAATAGCCGAGTCGATCTAGCCATGTTCGTCTGTCTGTCCGTCCGTCCATCCGTCCGTCCATCCGTCCGTCCGTTCGTCCGTCCGTATGTATGAACGCAAGGATCTCAGAACCTATAAGAGCTAGAAAAAATTTTAGATGTAGATGCTCCTAGTTCCCGCGCAGATCGAGTTTGTTTCCGATAATCGATAACTTACTCCTTTTCCAAGCAATCGATAAAAATCGATATCGATATCCTGTTTTTGGGCAATTTTGGGAAATAATAAGAGCTAGAATCACCAAACTTGACATATAGCTTTTAATTTTATATATGCATTTGATGTTGGAAGAAGAAGGTTCAGGGTATCCCCTAGTAGGGAGCTCCCGACAAGAACCTCTTACTTGTTTCGATTGTTTCAGGCAGAGCTGGTAAATCAATGACCAAATCCAAGGAAGGATGAGGGTTCTTCGGGACGTGAGAGCGGGTCCTGAAAGGCATCCAGTACAAAGTTTAAACTAAAAGATCTGTCTCTTGTGTAATTCAACCAAAAAGCCTGAAATAGGGACATCTCACGTAGACAGAAAGTTTGAATCCATTGACAGGGAGGATTTTCAAGGGGAGAGATAGACATCTTAGATAGTGAAGAAATATGGGATCTCGATTTCCGGGATAGGAATGTCAGGAAGCTAAGATCGAAAAGAAGACTTAACAGCTTTGAGTACTCCTCCTCCGATAAGGGCAGTTCGATCACCCGATCTGTAAATGGTAAATGGAATCTGAGATATCCGGTTTTGGTCAAGTTTTAGTAAACGTGATAACATCAAAATTTGAAGGCAAGCAACTAAATTTGGAGTCCGATTTTTCATTTCGGCCAAAACTGCTTACAACCAAATTTATCAATTTTGTATATACTTTATGATTTAAAAGAGTTTTTGCTTTATCCGAAATCTATAAACATCGGATTACTTTATTATATAGATCTGTGCTTTATTTATACTTATTACTTTATTTTATAGTTCTTGCGGGAAAAGCTTTTTGATTTTCTACATAAGCCAGAACTTATTTAAGTCTCATCGACATCTAACTTCTATAAATTTTCTATAAATCTGACGCGATATTTTTACAAAATTCTAATATATTTGAATCAATCATCTGCAAAATATATTAGTATTGGCCAATTAGTCAGTCAGTCAGGACAATTATATATTAGTCCATCCGCAACCTACCAGTCTCCACTGTGGAGAATGGGATGGGAAATATAGTATCAGCATTGTCAGCTGCTTGAAGTAATTGAACATACTTCAGATAAATTGTGTAATCTGTTAAATGTGATATTTAGTCTGATATTATACAAAACTCAACAATTACTGGAGACCTATGCTTGACCATATTGGCGAATTCTAATAAATACCAGATCATTCTATAAATAAATAAATAAATACCCGATCATTATTTCATACAAATAACCAATGAGCATCAAATTTATTTTACTACCCTGAACCCATTAAAAATGGGTATAAGGGTATATTGTATTTGTGCAAAATCGAAATGCATGTAACAGGCAGAAGGAAGCATCTTCGACCCCATAAAGTATATATATTCTTGATCAGCATCAATAGCCGAGTCGATCTAGCCATGTCCGTCTGTCTGTTTTCCCGTCCGCCCGTCCGTCCGTTTGTATGTATGAACGCAAGGATCTCAGCACCTATAAGAGCTAGAGACTTGAAATCTTAGATGCAGGTGCTTCTAGTGCCTGCGCAGATCGAGTTTGTTTCTGATAATCGATAACTTACTCCGTTTCCAAGCAATCGATAAATAAAAAGAGCTAGAGTCACCAAACTTGACATATAGCTTCTAAAATAGAATATATATATGCATTTGATGTTGGAAGCAGAGGGTTCAGGGTATCCCCTAGTCGGGAGCTCCCAACTAGAACCTCTTTCATGTTATTATTATGTTTCCGGGTATTTTAGAAAGTTTATATTTGTGGACCAATCATTATCTGCAAAATGTATCTAAATATATGGTATATATTAATTTCAGCAGTTGGCCAATTAGTCAGTCAGTCAGGACAATTATATATTAGTCCATCCACAGCTCATCAGTCTCCATTGTGGAGAATGGTTTGGGGAATATAGTATCAACATTATCAGCTGCTTTGTAGGCATGCAATGCATTTGGTAATTGAACATACTTCAGGTAAATTGTGTAATCTGTTAAATGCAGCTTTTCCATGGCTACGAGTGCTTACCTGTAGGAAGCCACTTGTAATTAGGCAAAGTAAACTCAATTATCCGCGCATTTCATTTTCAAATGTTAATCGTCCAGCAATTTAACCCAATTAAATATGCATGATGTTTTACGTGTAAACAAAAGACCATCAGCAGCGGCATCAGTGTAATAATGATTACCCGCCCTCAAATGGAACACCTTCTATTATTTGCCTGTTGACAGTAACCACTCAACCGAATTATTGCCAACTCATCAGTGGGTATTTCGGTCTTTATCTGGCTGTGTGCTCCGTATTCGTCAAAAGGACACATGCCTTCAAATTTCAACCACCCTCGGGACCGTATTGCCAAACTGTAATCGTTTTCAATTTCAATAGCCGCCAAATGTGTACATTTGAACATTCCATATATACATGTTCGTATGTCTTTAATAAGTCGTTTTCAATCTTTACTTTTTTATACTCTGTAGCCATTACGAATGAATGCAAATGGTGTAATAGATTAGTAAAGCCCTATGTAGGTTTCTGCGATGGCTATAATTTATAATAATAATAATGCTTAATGTAACAGATAATTTATCTGTCAATTTCTGCCCAAAAAGCGGGCAGATTTTAAATAAAAATAATAATGTTAAAAAAATTAATTTTTTTTAGTAACTCCGCTTTTCCATTTTTAAAGGTAAGGCCTTGATATATGGTATTAAATTTCAATTTCAGCTCAAAAACTATTTACGTTTAAAGATGAGTACAGGGTAGCCATTAATCGGATACTTCAAAAAACTCTCGCCTAAGCTGAAATATGAGACCTGTGCAAGCAACTAGAGTGCAGACTAAACAGCACGCCTTTTATAAACAAAATTAATTTAAGGTAATTGCATTGGCATTGCAAACGTGTTGCTTTGCCCAAAACTTGCCAGTACTTTTATAACAGATTGTCCTGAAATTTGGACGGGCACCTTCCGTTTGGACATACGCAAGCACTTCCGGCTAATACCTACCTAACAAAAATGCAAAAAAAAAATGCTTCTAGATTATAAAGTTAATATTTCCAAAACTGCGATTTTGGGGGGTTGAACCCGCGCGTGACAGAAATAAGTATAGTCTATTTTAATTGTTTCGATTTCAATATGCGCAAAGTAAAAATAATTCCGCTCCTTATGAAGAAGCCTACAACATTTTAGAATTTTATCAGCATATTTATATTGGAATGGTATTCAATGGAGAGACGAATTCTACTCGTAAGTGTGGAAAATCGAGAAAAAACTTTATTATAGAGCACTGAGAGTAAGCCAAATCGGTTTCCTGCGTTAAATCACACAAATCAAAACTTTGTCTTCCGGTAAATGATCAAGTTAAAACGAAGTCGATGTGGGACCTGACGCATAGAAAACATAGGACTATCCTTGGTCAAAGGGGGAAATTCGAAGTAAGTTTGAAGCGCGAAATTAGCAGCGCAGCGAGATATTAGCATTCTACTTCAAGGCCAAGGTCTAGATGGCCTGACATG